TCAGTAGCATGCACAATAAAATCTACATGCACTATATATTGCACTGGGGCATCTCTGTGAGCTACAGCTAATTGGGGGGAGTTTAAACTTCCAGTCCAGCACTGGTGTGCTTATTTTAAAGCTGCACATAAGACAGCAGTCCATACTGTGCAAGTGCCTCAATCTGAAATGGTAATTAATCTAAAAAGAATAAATAAATAAACCCAAATAACGAATGCAGCTTTATTAAAACCCAAACATGTCAGGTCTCCTTTCAGACATTTCAGTGGTGGGTCTCATATTCTAAGGGTACAGACAGTATATGTGTTTGACCATTATTAGTGAATGTTTCGTACGTTTAGTTTTTTGGCTAAACTATAAGGAAAAGGTATGATCATGGGTTTCACAGAACAGCATTTAATATACATTTAAAGCTCACTAATAAAATTAGTTTCACAGAATCACAAGGAATCTCGGCTGGGGTTACATAAGTTGGACTCTCACCCCTATCGATGGTCAGGGTATGGACCATAAACCACCAGCATTAAAGATTAAAAGTAGAATGACCAATGACATTGTTTGGTCATAGACATATACAGTCCTCGCATAATATCATATCATGGGATTTTTCCAGCCAGGACAAAAAAAAAACTAAATCCCTGGATATCTAATACATAGACTGATTATATTAGTCACACATCCCCCTATTATGGAATAAGGTAAAATTCTTTATTTCCTCTATAATGCTACTAAGGCCTTGTTACATCACCCTGTGCCTCACACAATGAATGCCGTATAAATCCAATAGAAAAGATGGTCGTATGTGAAAGTTCAGCACAGCATTGTGAATTTCTAAACTTTTTGATGCTCAACACGAGTCTCACCATCTGCTGCTGGGTACCAAGTATACCACCGGTTTCTTACAGACAAGCTGTGGATTCAGAGCCTGCATGGGAGCCCAGTATAGCTCTGCTATAAAGTGCTTTATACAAGAGATTTTCTCATCCCCAAGCAGATCATACATTCATGGAGCTAGCACGGAGGTAGGTCCACAGCACAGTGACCTTCCCCCCTGCACAGCCTTTGTTTTCTTGGTCGAAGTAACACATATTTAACCTTTACTGCAAGATCAGCCGTGCAACAACATTTTAATGAATTATTTATTCTTCGTATTAGACTCTTTACACGTGTAATTATAAACACTCCTCGCAAGTACATAAAATGTTTCACACAGACATCCAGGGAATAATGAACATGCTATCATTCAGAATAGATACTTGGGTTTATGCAAGATCCCTGCAGGTTAAATGTGATGCTTTCAACGCATTTCAATAACTGGATGCTTTAACCCCTTAAGCACAAACTGGGCTAGGCATGCATTGTAAATCACAGCGGGATTTTAGAATTAATAAAACTATTAAGGGATAAATAGATTAATCTAATAAAACAGAGCAATATAAACATCCATCAGAGACTGTTAATCCGCAATCCTTTCTAAATGCAGTTTTTTATCATTGTGATGGGTCAAATACAGACTGTGTAATTTCAGGACATCTCTTGCAATTTATTTTGAAAAACAATTTGCAGTTTACATCATCCCATGAACCCTCCCAAGATATCCTTGCAGGGATGATTTGCTGATTCATGGTGTAATTAAAATTTGCATTATATGGTCTAACACAGAATTACAGTAGATACATGAGATCTGGGAACTCCTGGTTACCTTGCAGATGTGAAAGTGTTCGGAGGTTAGATTCTCCTGGACCTCTGTTTCTCTTGGGGACACAGCAGCCCCCGTGGGCCCAGACGGATACAACGAACAGCCAACACCTGCTCCTCCGCTTCCCCCCAGTCCACCACCTCCACCAACGGGGGACGAGGCGGCTAAACCGTCCAAGACTTTGCGGATATTAAATTTCTTCATCCTTGGTCACCTCTAGGAGGTCAGGGGAAAAGAGAGTCCAAAATGTTCATTCCCCGAGAAGGACAGGCAATTCAGAGGACCAGAGATGTGAAGCACCAGAGTAAGAAACTAAAGGGAATAAATGTCTAGCTATGACTGGGCCCAGCCATGATAGAAGGCTCTGGAAGTACTTTCTACCAAGAGAAGAAAAAAGAACTAATTAAAAAGCATCTATGTATAAATGATGAGTCTGCTTAGAATTGGAAAATAAACCCTAATCAGGACCCATTCCGGAGTGTAGTATACATGAATCAGACCCAGGAAAAGTTCTCAGCCATAGGTTGGGCTCATATAAGGGTTGTGGAAAGATGTATCTGATTAAATTAAGTCATTAGCTCCCAGCAGTCACAATAAACTACCTCTAGCTAGCTTGTATCCTGGTTCTCACTGATTCTTTATACCCTGACCATTCTTGCTTATATATGCAACTGTATGCCAACTAGATCTTTGTGCTTGAGCTCCAATGCCAGTTCCTTTACAGAAGACAGTATAAAGCCATTGATAAACTCTACTGCTCGCCAGTTCCACCAATAGCTCCTGAATTTGTTTTCACCTCTTCCAAAATTCAGATCCCAATGAGCACCTTATTTTAAATGTGATTTTTTTCCCCCCTTTCTATCGCAATATTGCTACCTACCCACCATGCAGGGCCTAACACCAAACATCTTATAAACACCCACACAAGTCCAAGAGAAGCTCGTAAATGCCAGTCTTCAAAAAGTTATAAACACAGCTCCAAAATTCCTCTTCTACACCCCCGTCATCCAACAAATAACTGAGCAAATACTCTTACTGTGAATATGTTTTTCAGAAAAAAACTCTTCAGAAACAAAGAGTCTTCGAAGGATTCTACACCTTTTTCCGTTTGTTCCCCTCTACAGGATGGGCAGCTCTTATTACAGCTTGACTTACCTATACATGTCCTGTGCCACCTTGTTCTACACGTACTATGCCAGCATTAACATGCCCTGTGCTGGTCTCTGCTTTTTACAATCTCGCCTACACTGGATTGTCACTAGTATACAGGTCCTACACCTACTACTCTTTCAAAATATGTACTTCATCAGACTGACCTTCTAAAAGCCCCCAACAGCATGTACCCCTTTAATTCCAGCCTGACAACCCAATACAGGTCATACCCTCCTACACAGTCTCCAAATACAGCCGCACTAATTGTACAGACCCTGTAACAGAATAACCCCTCAAGTCCTAGCCTTTTTTCTGGATTGTACCAGACTGATCTATCAACATATACCCTATTCAACTGTACGAGCCTGACACCAAACTGTAAACTATACCAATCCTATCCTGCTACTTACTTTAATACAATTCCTATCAAATGAAGCTCCTATGCCAGATGGAACTCAGCACACCAGACTGACCACTCGATGCAGGTCCTATATTACTCAATACAGGTCCTACCCCACTCAATGCAGGTCCTATATTACTCAATACAGGTCCTACCCCACTCAATGCAGGTCCTATATTACTCAATACAGGTCCTACCCCACTCAATGCAGGTCCTATGTTACTCAATACAGGTCCTATCCCACTCAATGCAGGTACTATATTACTTAACACAGGTCCTACCCAACTCCCAAGCGTGGGTCCTATTCTACACAATAAATGACCAATATCTGTTTCTCTGCCCTGTAAGGGTTCTATCTTACTTATAAAGGTCCAAAACAAGACTGACCCCAAAACTGGTCCGCTATTAGACAGCCTTCCTCAGAACAAGTGGACCCCTAATTCCAAATATAGAGGTCTTATCCAACACTGGTCCTATACTAATACAGGTCCTATCCTAATACAGAGGTCAAATACCCAGGTCCTGTCCCAGCTCCCCTGTATAGAGGTCCTCTCTCTCAATACCCAGGTCCTGTCCTAATACAGAGGTCCTGTCCCAGCCCCCCTGTATAGAGGTCCCCTCTCCTAATACAGATATCCTATCCTAATACAGAGGTCCTATCCTAGTACAGAGGTCCTGTCCCAGCTCTAGCCCCCCTGTATAGAGGTCCTATCCCAATACAGAGGTCCTGTCCCAGCTCTACCCCCCCCCCCGTATAGAGGTCCTGTCCCAAAACAGAGGTCCTATCCCAATACAGAGGTCTTGTCACTATACAGAGGTCCTATCCCACTAAAGAGGTCCTGTCCCAATACAGAGGTCCTATGCCAATACAGAGGTCCTGTCCCAGCTCTAGCCCCCCTGTATAGAGGTCCTATCCTAATACAGAGGTCCTATCCCAATACAGATGTCCTGATGTCCTGTCCCAGCTCTAGCCCCCCTGTATAGAGGTCCTGTCCCAGCTCTAGCCCCCTGTATAGAGCTCCTGTCCCAGCTCTAGCCCCCCTGTATAGAGCTCCTGTCCCAGCTCTAGCCCCCCTGTATAGAGCACCTGTCCCAGCTCTAGCCCCCCTGTATAGAGGTCCTGTCCCAGCTCTAGCCCCCTGTATAGAGGTCCTGTCCCAGCTCTAACCCCCTGTATAGAGGTCCTGTCCCAGCTCTATCCCCCTGTATAGAGGTCCTGTCCTAATACAGAGGTCCTGTCCCAGCTCTAGCCCCCCTGTATAGAGGTTCTGTTCCAGCTCTAGCCCCCCTGTATAGAGGTCCTGTTCCAGCTCTAGCCCCCCTGTATAGAGGTCCTATCCTAATACAGAGGTCCTATCCTAATACAGAGGTCCTGTCCCAGCTCTAGCCCCCCTGTACAGAGGTCCTGTCCCAGCTCTAGTCCCCCTGTATAGAGGTCCTGTCCCAGCTCTAACCCCCCTGTATAGAGGTCCTGTTCCAGCTCTAGCCCCCCTGTATAGAGGTCCTGTCCCAGCTCTAGCCCCCTGTATAGAGGTCCTATCCTAATACAGAGGTCCTGTCCCAGCTCTAGCCCCCTGTATAGAGGTCCTGTCCCAGCTCTAGCCCCCCTGTATAGAGTTCCTGTCCCAGCTCTAGCCCCCTGTATAGAGGTCCTGTCCCAGCTCTAGCACCCCTGTATAAGAGGGTGCAATGTGCAGCTCTAGCCCCCTGTATAGAGGTCCTGTCCCAGCTCCTGGCCCCCCTGTATAGAGGTCCTGTCCCAGCTCTAGCCCCCCTGTATAGAGGTTCTGTTCCAGCTCTAGCCCCCCTGTATAGAGGTCCTGTTCCAGCTCTAGCCCCCCTGTATAGAGGTCCTATCCTAATACAGAGGTCCTATCCTAATACAGAGGTCCTGTCCCAGCTCTAGCCCCCCTGTACAGAGGTCCTGTCCCAGCTCTAGTCCCCCTGTATAGAGGTCCTGTCCCAGCTCTAGCCCCCCTGTATAGAGGTCCTGTTCCAGCTCTAGCCCCCCTGTATAGAGGTCCTGTCCCAGCTCTAGCCCCCTGTATAGAGGTCCTATCCTAATACAGAGGTCCTGTCCTAATACAAGAGGTCCTGTCCAAGCTCTATCCCCTGTATGGGGTCTATCCTATACAGGGTCCATCTAGCCACATAGAGGTCCTGTCCCAGATCTATCCCCCCTGTATAGAGGTCCTGTCCCAGCTCTAGCCCCCTGTATAGAGGTCCTATCCTAATACAGAGGTCCTATCCTAATACAGAGGTCCTGTCCCAGCTCTATCCCCCCTGTATAGAGGTCCTATCCTAATACAGAGGTCCTATCCCAATACAGAGGTCCTATCCTAATACAGAGGTCCTGTCTCAGCTCTATCCCCCCTGTATAGAGGTCCTATCCTAATACAGAGGTCCTATCCTAATACAGAGGTCCTGTCCCAGCTCTATCCCCCCTGTATAGAGGTCCTATCCTAATACAGAGGTCCTATCCTAATACAGAGGTCCTGTCCCAGCTCTAGCTCCCTGTATAGAGGGCCCTCTCCTGCCAGGACACCTGAATGCAGGGCTCGCCCTGTCTGCCCCGGGGCCGCCGGCTGAGGCTGTCACTGCAGTGCTGGATCTAGGGGGAGCCGCTCCGGCTTGTCCCAGCTCCCAGTCCCGGCCTCTCACACTCCGCTCCGGCCGCTCCGACTCCAGTCCTGCTCTGAGCGGCGCCCAGCCGCTGTCCGAGGTGCTGACAGAGGGGGCGGGGCTTCAGTGTGGGAAGGGCGGGGCTCCAGGGCGTGAGGGGCGGGGTTCCAGGGCGGGATGGGCGGGGCGGGCAATCTCATCAATAATTTAAACGGGCAGCCACGCCTTCCGCAGGTACGACACGCCCCCAGCCCCGCAGCTCCCACCTCCCCACCCAATCATTTACCTAAAGCCCGCCCAGTGCATTGACTGGCACTTTACTGCCCAATCTGAAGCCGATCTGGCTGATATCAGGCGCGTGCCTCCTCCTTGCCCCTTCCCCATTGGCATCGGGCCCTGCCTACTTTTACAGCATCCCACCGTGTGGGCGGGGATTGCGAGCTGTCAATCATGAAAGCGATGGGGTGTATCACAGTTCTCACACCGCATGTTGGGTGGGGGCGGGAGTCAGTTGTTGATTGACAGCTGAATAGGCCAATGGGATGGCCGTTTTTTCTTTTCACACCCTTGTGAGATTTAGCATTGATTTTTGAACAAAGCTTTGTTTTTGGTTTATAATCTGGAAAATGAGCACATGCCCACCCAGAATGAGCATTCACAACAGAGTTAAATGATATCACCTATTTTATTATGGTATTTAATGGGTGTCAGAGCTATAAATGTAAACCCCCTGTATGTTACCTCAGAATTAGCTGGAATTTTATAAATTATACTAATAAAATAATTATTAAACAATTCTCATATTCCAGAAACACCTTTATTTCTCACAATAATTCTTCCAGCGTTTTGTTGTCCTGCGTCGGCCGCCATTTTGGTCGGCAGCACACGGTTCCCTCCATTTCTGGATTTCCCACAATTCCTTTCAGCATTCCCGAGCTCTTCGTGGAATCCTCGCCGATTTTTATTGTAGATAATGTAGATGCTGCCCTAGGCAAAAGTAAAGTTTGCCGCCCCCCCCATGTGACATCACAATGCCCCACCCATATGATCTGCCATGTTAACTAACGCCAGTGCTGCAGTGCCGCCGTGTTTACATTAAAAGGCCTGCAGGGACAGGCTATAGACACCAGAACCACTACATTAAGCTGAAGTGGTTCTGGGGACTATAGTGTTTTTAATGTGAGGTAAATTAGAGCTTAGTGCCACGAATAATATACTAGATTGCCTACTTACAACCAGATGAGGATGATGATGGGCTCTAGCTGCAGTCTGGCTCCACTGGTCTGGTGTAGAACAGGCTCTCTGGAGGCGGTTTGTAACTGTGGTCACAAAAATCAATGTTCTGGGAGAACGGGAAGCAGCTCCATTTTTTGGGGTCCTTTACACAGCTCAAGATCTGGGTCCCAGGGTCCACCTTCATGTTCCACCAATGAGTTTGTTCACAGGGGGTGGAGTGTGTGTGTGGGGGATGTCCTGATATGTGTGAATCTGTGTTTGTATGTGTAAGAGCTGCAAGGTGTGTTTGTGTATGTATGGGATGCAGTGTGTGTGTGTGTAATGAATGCATTGTGTGTTTCTGTGTGAGGGATGCATTGCTTGTGTATGTGTGTAATCCATTGTGTGTAACGGTTGCATTGCTTGTGTGTATGTGTGTAATGCATTGTGTGTTTTTCTGTGTGTTTTTCTGTGTGGGGAGGTGCAAGGGGTGCATTGTGTGTGATTGTGTGTGTATGATGGATGTCAATCTCCCCCCCACATCAATTTCCTTCCTCCCCTCTCCAATTTCCTTCTTCTCCCCCCTCTCCAATTTCCTTCTTCTCCCCCCCTCTCCAGTTTCCTTCCCCCCC